CCAACTAACTTAAAACTTAGAAATCAGCCAATGGTACCATTGGCCTTTTGAGCAATGAGAGACAGTGTCAGGTGCTCATGCCAGTTCTCTGAAGCTGATGCCATCCTTGTCCAGACCCGTGTCCAGGGACTAGTACATATTGTTGCAGGATTGTTGAGAATTTCTCCCTGCCTAGTTCCCACTCAGGAACACATGGGAAATCACACACCAGATCCAGAAAATTTATAAATTCCTTTTTAGCAAATCTTATTTTCTCCTTACAACAATGAACCCTAACAATATGAGACAATTTTGGCCTTCAAGTATTTTCAGTTGAACTCACACTTAAGTAGCTTAAAACAACGTTTTTCAATTTATAAGAAAACATCCTGATAAATATTTATAGTTTAACTTAAATTTATATTCGTTCTGAATATGCTTCCCAGTTTATATTAAAGAATAAGAAGATGTTAATTCAGAGTTTTTTGCTTTCCCCACAAAAGAGAATATGAACAAATGGAAACACACAGTAAGAATTAACTTAGAGATATATTGTCGAAGAAACTCCTTGAGACATAGTTGTCAGCTTAAAAGAGCCTGCCAGGTGGTTTACAAAATTTCACACAATTAAATGTTTCATCAGTGCTGTGGGCACAGAGCTGTTTACAGCTTCTGATGTCTGGGATCTGGCTTCTTTTTCTGTCAAAGCCGGAGTCATTTTTACTTTATATATTGCCACTTAGGAAGGAAGTCTGTTTATGAAGAATATTGTTCTCCCTTAGAGAGGCCCAGAGAATGCAGCCAAATGCTGGGATGTCGTACAGCACCTTGTTTACAGCAGTATCCAGCGAGCTGGGTTGTGCACGTCTGCATATGGTTCAAGTCTTGTTTTAATTCAGCCCTTGGGACATCAGTCCAACAGTGCAGCCAAATATGCTCTTCTAAGTCAGTGATAATAGTTTGAGGATGACATATGCGCAAGCTTTCCAGCTTCTAAGTGGCTTGATTTTTCTTCATGTTGTATGTACATTTCTATTAAAACAATCACACACATCCCATCTGCAACTTTACTTCATGCCTGACCAGAATTCTGTTGCAGTGGACAAACGTGCTTACTTTTTGTACAAGCATTATGCCTCCATTGTCCTGCATGTTTCCCTTTGTCTGCCCTGCTCCTGACATCTGACACCTGTCCTCCTGTCATGTTTGAACTTCTTCAAACACAGGTACACAGTATTTCCTTACTCAGGTGCTTCCTATATACACTGAAATACGAAATGTCCAAACATATTATCATCTCCCAAACCAACTGTTGCTTTCTCTGGATCTGTTTCAGTGGTTTTTGGCCCAAACATAGAAAGGTGTCTGCTGATTTTACAAGCCAACTCTGACACATGTATTTTTTGAGGGGAAATTCTAGAATGGAGAAAAGAAAACTGAATTCTAGAATGGAGAAAACAACGTGAGAGAATGGGCAAGCATAATTACAGTCTCTTTTACATTAGTTGTTCAATAGTCTGGATTAAGGCTTTATTTTATTCATGTTTTTCTATATCAGTGTATTATTACCACAAGTATGTCATATATTTATATTTAGTATCTTGAGTCATTTGTGAATGGAGGATTAGTCTAGGTTAGTAAAATTCAAATTAAAATGTGAACTATGAACCAGGTGTAATGGTGCACACCTTTATCCCAGTACTTGGGAGGCAGAGACAGCATCTCTGAGTTCGAGGCCTGTTGCTGGTATTTTACTCTTTTGCTCTTTTGGGGGCCTACCACCCAGCTCCCAAATAAATTCACACACAGAGGATTATTATTACTTATGAATGACCAGCCTTAGCTTGGCTTAGTTTCTAGCCAACTTTCCTTATCTTAAATTATCCTATTCTGTCTACCTTTTGCCTCTGGGCATTTCCTGTTCTCTTCTGTAAATCTGTGTAGCTGGGTACCTGGCCCCTGATGTCCTCCCCTTTCTGGCTCCTTCTAGATCTTAGATCTCTCCTCCCAGATTTCTCCCTCTATACATCATCTCTTCCTGCTATCCTTTCTCCTGCCTTGCTATTGGCTAGTTCTTTATTAGACTACCAGGTATTTTGTACAGGATAGTAACACAGCTTCACAGAGTTAAACAAATGCAACATAAACAAAAGTAACACATCTTAATATTCTACTACCAAGGCCAGACTGCTCTACAAAGCAAATTCCAGGACAGCCAGAGCTGTTACAGGGAGAAACCTTCTCTCAAAAAAACAAAAACAAAGCAAAACAAACAACAACAAAAAGCTGACAATGTACAAGCAGCATTCCTTTCTTCATTGCCACAAAAGCAACAGAAAACAACATAAATGGTTAATGTGCCATATTTTCCTTAATGTCTTCATTTGTGAGTAAATAGGAACTTAATATGACGTGTCTCATAGCTATCACTCATGGGTTGCCAAACAGAAATAGAGTAAATAACATATTTAGCTCCTCACCCAATCTCATAATAAAAATTTCAGTTTGGTGTCTTAGATGTGAATAGTGTTCTCAAGATCATTCACACAAATATTCAGGTTGGTTAAATAATGTTTAAAAAAGCTGTATCTACAGACTAAATAATAATAACTCTAATATTCTTTCCCTCACTAATAATTTAGCCAGAACAAGTTGTGTATCCATTCCCATAGAGTTAGTAATTTATTTATAAAATCAAAATTTCTGTTTAAACATTTGAACTCCATTAATATAATTTCATTAGAGAAGTTATATATTGCGCCTCAATCTGCAATCTGCCACCATCTCATGAAAATCTACCAGGATAGGATGTGATACCTTTTATTCTATTTGTTTATTACCCAAAAGCGAATGACACATTGGGGAAAAAACAATACCAAATAGTATACAGATCCACTCCTTACTGCAACCATTCATTTGTGATGACCATACAGACCAAGTACAGTTTAGAAAGAAACTCACACTCTATAAAATATACAACTGGGAAAGGAAAACTATGTGGGTTCTGTTTATCTGGGATTGTGCACCAAACTGCTTACAACAGCAGTGTTATCATGATTTGCACTATCACAGCTGACTGGATGTAGCCAAGTAGTTCTAGAAAAGGGTGGCTCATGCTACTATTATCAGATGGGAGCTAGAATTGTAGTGAGCAGGGGGAATTCCATTTGTATGTCTCAGAGTGTTCACACAAGTAGCAAGCAGTTTATAAAGGCCAAGATCGAGGCTAGCTAATATCACAGTGACACCATGATTTTCCATGGACGTATAATGAAATAGCAGCTAACTTCAGCCTATCTTCAGACACATTCAAGAAGAACTTCAAGAGGCCTATGCAGAAGCTGAAGTTGTTTGATTCTAAGAAGGCTCTGAGCATCATTTCTGTTGCCATCTTATATGGACAAGTGAATAATTACAATTCCAATTCAAGGACAAAAGGTTAAAATGTTTCCACTTGGTGTTAGGGACTGAGTGCATACACATGAAACAAGTGATGTCATTGAAGGTGACCACATTTTGTGAGCATCTACCTTAGAATTTGTCAAACTACAGGTTCCGGACAAAATCCACCTTACTACCTTGGTTTTGACATGCGGCTTTATTGTAGCAGTATGCAATTCACTTGTTTATGTATTGTCCATGGCTGTATTCCCTCTGCAGGGGCAGAGATGAGTTAACAGCAAAAGAGAACATGTCCTATATAAAGTCCACGGTATTTAATATCAAAGCTTGTTGAATCTCCTTTTATTATCAATTTCCTAGAATAAACGGTAAGAGAAGTGGAAACATGAAACTTGAGAAAATAATTAACAGAGCTGACGTGGCAAAGGGAAGAAGAGAATTGTCATTAAATGTTCAAGATGATAGTGCGTGGGAGTCAAGTGAAAGGCAGGCTGCGGAAACAAGACCCAAGCCAGGATGGAGCAACTTAGTGAGTGTGCGCTCGCTGTGTGTGGGATTACTGGTCCTTCCTACACAAGACTCCTGAAGGCAGGAACAGAGAAAAAGAAGAAAGGAAGAAAAGAGAGTGGGAAATTCTTTAAATCATGCTATGAGGGACATCAGATCACTTACAATTTTTTGTTTTGTTTTGTTTTTGTTTTTTGAGATAGGGTTTCTCTGGGTAGCCCTACCTAACCTGGATCTTGCTCTGTAGACCAGGCTGGCCTCAAACTCACAAAGATCCACCTGGTTCTGCCTCCCGAGTGCTGGGATTAAAGGCGTGTGCCACTGCCACCCCGCTCAGTTACAAATTTGATGAATTCTTTTTTCATACAACATATTTTGGTCATATTTTTCCCCTCTCCAACTCCTCCTAGCGCCTTCCCACCTTGATACCACTCCTTTATTTTCTTTCTTTTTCAAAAGAAAAAGAAAAAAAACAAAAATGAAAATAAAAACAAACCTAGAAATAAAGAATATTAACACTGCAAAACAACTGCGCACACATCCCTTTTGTCATTTGTGTAGACGCTGTGGAACATGCGCAGTCACTGTCCTCTGACGGTGTTCTACACACATTTTCTGAGATCCTCATTGGTGGTTTTGGTTGGCATTTGAATCATAAATCAGGCTAATGTGTAGAGTCGGCCACAAAGGATGTAGTAGCTAACTCTCAGTCTGCGGGTTCATCCCTTACTTGTGTCTGCGAGGACAGAAACACTACCTACCCATCCTGTCAGTACATGCTGCAACACTTGGGGATGTCCACAGTAGCAGTCAATCGTGTGTAAGTCCTTTATTATGAAATTTCACTTGGCTATATTCTGAAGTACAGCCATTAAAATTATAAGTAACCACGGAGAAACTTTCTCAACTGCCAGCACTGGTGGAACTCCAGACAGACGGCAATTTTCTCTAAAGCTTGATCTACACTCAAGTCATCCTCTCCCTCATGCTTGGTCAGGAGATGTTTCCTTCTACCACAGTTTATCAGTTGAGAAACACATGCACCTTCAATATAAAAACATTGACTTATTTATATTGAAAAATTACTCAGGATAATGGCCTTTCTTACTTACCGTTTATAAATAAGTGGGAATTTGCTCATCTCATTGTCAGCTGTGTTTACATTCCATGTTTTCTTGATGTTACAGCTCAGTAATAAAGCCTTTGTCTAGCATGCAAAAGGTCAAAGAGTCAGTCTTTGGTGCCACACACATACAAACAACACTAATTTAATTAATTAAAAAGTCTTTATATCAAAGATTAAAGTTAAAATTCAGAACTTGGTTCTTTCCTGACTGATCCTTTACCATCTCTCACCCATCCTCTGCCTTCAGCCTCTCAGTTGGGGGTTTGCTACTAAATCAAGAGAGCAGAAAGGATTGTCAAGATCCTGCCAACAAAGTGCTTTCTAGTACATTGCTCATCTTTTCCTTTCCTCACAACTATACACAGGATGGTGATTAGAGGGCCCAAGATAAGCATGACATACTAGATGGGCTCTCCATTACCAAAATAGTATCAATTGCATGGTTTCTCCTCATTACTTTCTTATATTATCTTTAAAAATTCTCAAATATTGAAAATATTTTATAACACACAGCAACACATGGGTTGTTTTTGTAAATATAAAGCTCCCTCTCATAGCAGATGAGAATGGGTAAAGAGACCCAGAGCCAGACATTATACACACAGAGAGAGTCTAACATGGAGGTCTGCAACAGGTTCCCTTCCTATGAGATTAGAGAACCCATGTGGAAGAAGGGGAGAAAAGACTGTAAAAGTCAGAGGGGACTGAGGACACCAAGAGAACATGGCCCACTGAATCAACTAAGCAGGGCTCATATGGGCTCACAGAAACTGACACTGTTACCTTGGGGCCTACATGGGTCTCCACTAGGTCCTCTACGTATATATAGATATATTCTGACTGTTAGCTTGGTGGTTTTGTGGGACTCCTAACAGTGGGAGCAGGTGTGTCTCTGACTCTTGCCTACTCTTGAGACTGTTTCTCTTACATTGGGTTGCCTTCTCCAGCTTCATTATGAGGGCTTTTGCCTTGTCTTATTGTATCCTTTTTGTCCTGTTTGACTATTTCTCTTGGAGGTCTGCTCTTTTCTGAAGAGGAAACGGAGGAGTAGTGGATATCGGGGAGAGAGGAGCTGGGCAGGCAGAGCTGGGAAGAGAAGAGGGAGGGGAAACTGTGGTCAGGATGTATTGTATGAGAGAAGAATCTATTTTTAATAAAAAAAAAATTTGAAAAAATAAAACTCCAAAACTTATGATTTGTATCTATGTATAGAAATTAAAATGAAGTCACATACATACATATATATGTATGTATGCCTTTCTTTAATAATTACACATTAAAAACTCTATAACTGAGTGTCCTGGATAGTTTTGTGTCAACTTGACACAAGCTAGAGTTATCTGAAAGGAAGAAACCTCAACTGAGAAGATACCTCCATGAGTTCCAACTATTGAGCATTTACTTGATTAGCGATTGATGAGGGAGGACCCAGCCTATTGTAGGTGGTGCCATCCTTGGGCTGGTGGTCCTGACTTCTGTATAAAAGCAGGCTGAGCAAGCCACAATGAAGAAGCCAGTTAGCAGTACTTCTCCATGGCCGCTGCTTTAGTTCCTGCCCCTGGGTTCCCGCCCTGTCTGAGTTCCTGTCCTGACTTCCTTCAATGATGTACAGCGTGAGGAAGGGTAGGACAAATACACCCTTTCCTCCCCAACTTGCTTTGGTCGTGGTGTTTCATTGCAGTGATAGTAACCTTGACTAACACGGAGACATATTTATATATAAGAAATTTTGATAGTCAAACCTAAGGGGTTTTCTATCAGGAATACATTATTTGGAAATAAGATTGACAATGTTTATTTACTCTAAGAAGTTTTCAATGACAGTGAAAGTTGATTTAAAAAGCCATCAATAACAGAATGGTATATAACTTCTTAGGTCTACACAAGAGCTGTACAACTGGTTATCATCAAGAGTTAAGGGACCTCAATACCTAATTCTGTCCAAAAGTTGCAAACACTAACCAAAAGCTTAGAATTCCTTATTCCAAGACCTACACAAAACTGGCACACATCTGAAACCTGAAGATCCTCACACCCTCTACCTAAGGTCTTCAGACTGTGGGAAAATGAGAGGACACCACTTACTGCTGCCCCTAACTGCACATGGCTGTGGCTCTGTACTGCCAGATCCTGAGGATGCAACAGCACAGACCAGCAAAATTAAAAAGCTTCTCTTTGTGTACACATGGTGTATGTGTGTGTGGGGGGGTCATGAATGCAGGTACCTTTTCACACACATGCACATGCATGTATGTGCATACTTATGTGGTTCTGTGCACATGTGTATGTATGGAGGCCAAAGGTTGATATCAAGTTTCTGTACCAATTGCCCTCTACCTTAGTTTTTGGAACCAGCCTCTCACTGAACCTAGAGTTCATCAGTTTGGCTTCACTGACTAGACAGAAAACTCAAGGGATCCTTCCATGTCTCCAGGAATGGAATTTGAAGGCTCTTCTGACTGACTTTTTATGTGTGAGTTGAGGAGCCAAACTCATGACCTCATGCTTATATGGCAAGCACTTTATCATTAGAATCATCCCGCAAGCACTTATACATTTACACGCATACACACACACACACACACACACACACACACACAATGGGAAGAGACAGGGAGGAAGGGAAGGAAGGAGAAAGGGTAGAGTTGTATATACCCCAGGCTGGCTTCAAACTTACTATGTAACCAAGGATAACCTTGAACACCTGAACATCCTAGCTATCTGCCTCTATTTCCCAGTTGCTGGGTTATAGGCACATTATACCATGACTGGGTCTTACTAACAGTTTCTACCTGGGTAGAACAAAAGGACCCTGCCTGTTGTATTGGTACAGTCACATGGAGGAGAGCTGCTTCAAGTGTCTATTTGGAACCATTGTGTACAACAAATAAATCCCTGCCTATGACATAAAACATTTTGAGATCTGCTTATTACTGCTGTTTATTGGAATCTAACCATGAAAACCAAATCAATACATCACACTATTTGTGCAAAACTCAGAGACTTATAAATATCATCTCCCCTTCTCACACACACATACTGAGGCAGTAAGAATTAATGAATCTAAGTACAGAAAACATTGACACAACACTTCAGCTTTGCAGATCACAATTCTCCAGCATCTTTCTCTTTCATTTTAATGATTCTCACTATTATGCCTTTCTTTTGGGCTTCAATGGAGGATGAGGATGTATACAACGGTAGCCTCTTTAAACAGAATAATGCTTTGGAAAAAATCCCCACCACTTTGGAACCATAGAGCATAACTCTGCCTATTCCCACACAAGTTAACAGCAAACTGCTGGAAAATCTAGGTGGGTAACATATGCACGATAAATAAGGTATATTTGATAGTCAAGATTTATAAATTCCTAAGGTCTACTCAAGTTCACAGTAAATTTGTCTAGCTTCATCTTTGCTCACTTTAAGCTTTAGCAATTTAGATAAACTAAGCAATACGGAAAAACGGCAATATTCTGTAATGGAATGTCTGATCTCCCAAGAAAGCCCTTTTCCCAAGGTCTGGCATTTAGACAAAAGTCCCCATTCCCTCTGGGGCTTGAGAAAGCTCCTGCTGGCTAAAACAGAGTCATTCTTATCTCCAGTAAGTGGAACTTGTGGCCTTTCCATTAACATATGACTAGTGCCTATTAGCTTGCCAAGGTCAAGGCTGGCTTCCTCAATCCCTGATCACAAGTCACCCCCCAGCTCACATTGTCCCTTTTCCCCATGTAATCCTTTTTACAATATAGAGTAAAAGGGTGGAGCTTTTTTCAATACATCGACAGGCATCCCTATTCACCCTCAGATTGAGTCAGTCTCCTCCTTCCCCTTGAAGACCCCACATTTCTTCTTTGTGATCTGAATCCCAATGGAGCTGGGCTCCAGTACTTATTAATTGAATTTTGTTTTGTTTTGCCTCCAACCTGAGAATCATACAGATATAATTTGATGGCTAGGTTCCCCTTGTTACTTTTATTGTATTATTGATATGCATATATTGGGACTTCCACCTAAAGTACAATGCACCTCAAAACATACCTGATAGCTGTTATAAATCGTCTATTCAATTTTGTATAATTGGGCATGTAGGAAGTTTACAACAGCTACTCAATGAGATCAGGGTCTTCTAATTGCCAACATTTATTCCCACTCACTTTTCACTGTTTGCCCATAAAGCTGTAGTATGGAAAATATAAGTATGTTCAAGTCAAGCTTTAAGATACAAATTCAAACTTTTGTTTTTCTTTTGTGTTTAACTTAGAAATAAAATTTGTAATATTTTAAATATGATTATTATACTAATCTTGAAAGTTATCTGGAAAGTAACTTTGATATATTTAGCATTATTTTCATTTGTCAGGTATAATGAGAGGCATAAAACTATTATGTGTGAGTCTCATCCATCTCAATACATCATCTCATTTTAAGCTATAATGGTTTATTATGAGAGTATTGAAACAAGGAAAACATTGAACAATATTATACCTACCAAAAATGTTGAAAACCTGATTTCCTTAACATAATAGTTAAAAAAAAAAACTGATTTGAAAATATCACAGTTCCAAGTGAACTGTGCAGGCATCAGGTGATTTCTACTTAGAAAACTATTTTTATTCTAACATAAATAAAATACATAGGCAAATGTGGGCTTTGAATGAATTTGCAATTTATTATAAAAACCAACTGGAAGTCAGCTTCCCAAGCTCTTCACTGGAGATTGTGATATTGGATCAACCGTTGAAAGTACAGTAAAGAAATAATGCTATTCAAGTACTTGAGAGCTGATAATAATGATTATTACTTAGACAAACAAAGTCTGTTTGTTTATTATCACTTTTATGGGGTTAAGCCACTAGTTAATGCTGCATTTTTTTGCAAAATGAACTGAATAATGCAAATTTCTCTAAAAGCAGTGATTTCATTAGTGGTTTACAGTATTTTTATTTGTTTAAAACCTATAATTAGAAACATGCTCACTTCATCAGACACTGCCAAGTGCATTGCTCAACTGCAAACAAGCAACAATTCCTAGTTACTCCTCAGTGACAGCCCCACTACCTCACATTGTTAGCTATATTAATGGGGACAGTGAGCATAGGAACTCTGGAAACTGCTATTTTGCTGAGTCATTTCTGGTGTTAGTTTTGACATTCTATTGGCTCAATAGAATTGCCGGAATGCAAAAGCAAGGATATCCAAAAGCAATGCAAGCCTAGGCAGGGACTTCATCTAATACATCCAACGCAGTGGAGGCTGGAGGAAGTGCCCGCCTGTCTGCAAGCTCAGTTTTTAAAGGGAAAAATCACAAGGTTACATCATTTAGGGGTGCTAGTACAGGTACAATTCTGATTGGCTCACTTCTAGGGACTTTCTAGAAATCATAGCTTAATCTTACTTCTAAAGGAGTGGTTACCCACCACCATTTCTCATTGGCTGCCCTCAGGTTGGGGACACTTTTATGGTCAGTTACCCTGGAAACCAGGGTTGGAACATTCTATAGTCTGGCAGTCATTACCTCGTGACTACCTGGGGACTCTGTACTTTTACACTTCCTGGTTTCTGGAATCTGGACTGACTTGTTTCAGTAACTATTGGCCTATTCCTAGAAGGCAAAATCTTAGGCCTTAGTTTTTGGGTGAAAGCATTTTGGTCTTATTTCTAAGATGGCTCATTTTGGTCTCACATACCTTAAGCTACTTAGGTAAAGCTTGCAAGCCACAGGAATGGCTCTCTCTCCCTGTCTTTGGAGAAGTGTATATACAAACTGAGATGATAATACCTCATTTATATTATAGGTGATGCAAAGCAGTCCGTCCCTACCTACATCACCAAATGACCAGAAATGCAGTCATCTCATCACTATTTACGTATACAATTTTTGTCTTTCCTGTTTTTCCATATAATTGATGAATAACACTGAATAATTTAAAATAATGTGCTGTTAACATTATTTTACCTCCATTTGTGTTCTATCACTATTAAATTTGTATAGCCAGTGAAAATAGTCCAATATTAATACTTTAATTCTATTGTCCCATGTTTAGGGCTTATAACCTCTATGTTTTTTCCTCATAAGGAAATTTACATTATTCTCTGACATACTTCAACACAACTTGAAAATATGATAGAGTGGATGTTTCCAACTTAAATTTACTCAGACGATGTCCTGACTCACAGAGTTCAAAAAATATAAAAAGGCTTTGCAATGCTTCCTATGTTACATTGCCTTATGCTTGAAGTATTGCCTTATATTAGAAATATTAAAATCCTTAAAGTTAATGATACATTATATATCAGCATTAGAAAAAGAAGCATCATTTTTTTTTCAAGCATAAAAATTTAAGAGACTTTACAGACTTATTGGAACTGGAGATTTGGAAATTTTCTCTGAGTGCTGACACCCAGTCTCCCCTCATTGAAGTCTGAAAATAGGGCAGGCAATGTCTCCTCCTCAATAAACTGCGTTTGGGGCTGAGGTTAACAATATTTACTATTCTTCCATAGGATCCAAGTTTGTGTTTTTTGGCACCCATGTCATGCATTTTACAACCTCCTGTAACTCTAGTTCCAGGAGATCCATTATTCTCTTTGGGCCTCCCTAGGTATACACACACAGAGAGAAGTGAGAGACACATGTACAGACAGACACACACACACATAAATAAAAAAGTAAATGAATAAAAATAAATCTTAAAGAAAAACATGCATGTTTTCTATGTTTAATGTCTTTGAATTTTTCAAAGTTTTTCATCTTTTTCTAACAACAAAAACATAAGTAGGAGCACATTTAGACAGAAGTTCTAAATGAAAACATCTGTCCTTTAATCAATATAAAGGAATTTTGGAAAGAATAGAACATATATCTAGTAGCTTCATATAGTTATTTAATTTATCATAATGGGTTATTATTTTCTGGGGAAATGAATACTTCCAAAAGAAGTCACACTGCTTGTAGGCATGTGATTTAGCATAATATTAATATAGAATGGGGGCTCCAAACAGGGCAGAATATAAAGTTCTGCTTGATTCAGAACTTCTAAAGCCAGGAATTAATTAAAAAGACAAAAATGAGTGAACTAAATGATCAGGATTCAGATTATCAGCCACAAACAGTTTGAATAACTATAGCTTCTGATATGAAAGTGTTGAGAAGAGCCTAAATATGAACAATAGTTAAATAGTCGAATATTACTTGGTCACTAAAATGTTATTATACTTTCACACTTACAGGGAAAGATATTAAAGTAGTATCAAAAAACAAATCATTAGAAAGTAATATAGTAAGAGTAATCTTTTTTATAAACATGTGTTTAAATTCTTTTGAAAGATATAAAATATTTTGAAAGTTTATAAAAAGCAACACTCAAACAATTAATATTTGACCTAACATCTCTTTTAGAAAGTTTAGTTGTAAGATATTCTATATTTGTTCTATGTTTTTCTACTGTTGTTGGGGGTTTGTGCTCTTTTCGGGGGCCCTCCACCTTGCTCCCAAATAAATCACATTGAGGCTTATTCTTACTTGTGAATACCTGGTCTTACTTTGACTTCTTTCTTGTCAGCTTTCCTTAACTTAGTCCATTTACCTTTTGCCTCTGGGCTTTTCCATTTCTCTTACTTCTGTAAATCTTGCTCTTATTTCATGGCTCGCTGTGTAGCTGGGTGTCTGGCCCCTGGACTCCTGCTCCTCTGGCTCCTAGCTATTTCTCTTCCCAGTTTTCTGTTTCTATATATCCTCTCTGACTGCCAGCCCTGCCTGTCCTTTCTGCTGCCTTGCTATTGGCCATTCAGATCTTTATTAGACCAATCAGGTGTTTTAGACAGGCATAGTAACACAGCTTCACAGAGTTAAACAAATGTAACATAAACAAAAGTAACATACTTTAAAATAATATTTCCAACATTTCCCCCTTTTGTCTAAATAAAAATGAAAAGGTTTTAACTTAAATATAGTAAGACTATATACAATAACAGTTATCAAGTAATGATTACATTAACAATATTATGTCCATTTGTAGTTAGCATATTCAAAAAATAATGCATTATCTATCCTATCTTAGTGAATCCAAAACTTTATTCCTAATTTATTATCATAACTAAGGAAAACTGCAACTATAACTATTTAGTCTTCAACTCCATCAAAGACCCAGAAGGATGTAATATTATCTAACAACAGAGACATTTGGCTGCCTGGACAGTCACCCAAAGTTTCTCTGCAATGTTGGGGCATCCATCTTCAGCCTATAGGCCTAGAATATCTGGCAGACTCTTCTGTGAAGCAGAAATTTTGAATGACTATCCTGCCTTGTTTTGGCAAAGTTCAACAGTCTTTTTCCTGTGTATCCTGCATGTCCAGTTTTCACAGCAAATTGTCAGCAGTCAAAGGCAAGAACAGTTTCTTTTGCCTAGTGGCTAACCTTGCCACAATGAAAACAAACTCCATAAGGAGATTCTTCAATGCCCATCATCTTCTCTGAAGTAAATTGGTGCTTCCAGGAGCAGATGTGTCTCATTGTCATGAAAAACTTTAAATTAACAAGACATTTAAAATGTCATATTCTGTAGGCCTTTGAAAGGTTTGAATACCATCTATCTATCTAAAATGTATCTCTGTATGATGTGGAAAGCATACCTAAAATATGTACAAATTTGATTGTTATAAATGATGAACCACTAATCTATGTTCCTAATTACCCTATATAGTTTATAATAATAGCTTTCAAAAATTAGACCTTTACCCTACATTTTTTAAATAAACTGCATAGTTATAATACCTTAAACAAGAATAGAAACATATATACAATGCATAGTAACAAAAACAACCTTAAATTTGTATAAATACGCAAAAATCTTTTATACAAGAGTAGAAACATATATACAGTATAACAAAAATAACTTTAAATTTCTATCAATATTCTATATTCCTCTAAATAATAACAAACATCCATAACCCATCAAATAACCAAAACACACTCATACTTCCTCCCCACACACACACCAATTCTTGGGAATGTGAGCATAGTTTTCTCCATACTTTTTCATGCTGTCTGTGGAGGAAGTATCTTTAGGGTTCCAGAGAGAAAATTTTGAGATAATGACCAAGTCCTGGGAAGACCTTTGCTGATAGATATCACTTGTCAAGTTTCAGGAGGTCGTGTCTGAAAAAAAAAAACAACAACAACAAAAAACTGATCCATATTACCCCTGAAGGAATCCACAGCCTCTCATCTCCTGTGGGAACAAAACTCCAAAGCGTTTTTGATTTTCATTTGACAAATATATGTATTTTTTTTACTTTTTAAGGTTAAGGCATTCTTAAAGTATCTAGATTGGTTCAATTTAGCAGTCCATTTCACAATTCCATGTCTCCTAGCAGCTGTCTTTTGCTTCTCAACAATCAAAAAATTCAAAATCAACACGTACAGGATCCAGAATCCCTCTCTATTTCCCATCTCTGTGTGGCTTATTATTTTTTACATTACTTTACTTCTCTCTTTGAAGACTTTATAAACTATTCATTTTTCCATGACCTATAACCTTTCCCTTTTCTTAAGCCTACTCACATTGTTAAACACACTGTAACCTGTTTAGAGGATTTTTCATCTGGATATCTTTTATTGCATATCTCTAGTCCTTTTTGACCTCATGAGCAAACTTTTAAACTGCTAACCTACACCTGGATTCTCCATGCTTGGCTTTCATCTGACTCTGTGCAATTTCTTGGGTTGGGAAAGCCAAGCATGAAACTTGCGGCTGGTTGAGGTTTGTCTGATCAGGGACTGCATTCAACCTTCCTAGAGTTCTAGAATGCCAATGCTTATGCTGTGGTAGGAGTTTTCACTTAGTTTTTTGTTCCTACATAAAGTACTAGCTGCTCAATGGCTCAGTGACCTGCCTAAACTATACAGCCGAAACTCTTAAAGAGTCATATTCCCGTTTTTGTTGTTCAGCTTTCTCAGGCTCTAGATAGATATTTGAGCCCCAGGTTGGTTTGCCAATTTGTTGTCCTTTTTAAAAATTGTTGTTGCCTTTTAAGCCACAGATGTCCAAATCAGCAACTGCAATTCCACCACTCCCAGCAGTGATTAGGCCACAAGGGCCATAGCAGGAGGGAAATCTGTTCCCTCTGGCTCCAAATCTTGAAAAGCTACAAGGGAACTTAACTAACCTTCTGTCCCTCTAAAGAACTCAAGATTCAAAGGGTAAGGTGGAATTCTGCTCTTCAGAGGCTGAATAGCAAGTAGCTCACCTCCTCTCCTTACTCATGACCTCCAAAAAGTCCTCTAGCTTCTCCTTATCCCTCCTTATAAACCCTTTCTCACCTGGCTCCTCCTTTCTACTTCCTGTCAGTTGCTTGCTGACACAGCCTCCTGACCGCAGGTGAATTTTATTTAATCAAACATGTCTTTGCATCATTAAACAAATGTTCCAGGGCATAAACAAAAGTAGCACACCTTGAAATAATAGTCTACAACATTCTACATTTTTATTGTTTCCTTATCTGATGGGGGGGGGTACTTTGTAGTTAAATATAAAATATCTCATGTTCTACTGGGTGCAAATTAAACATTCATATGACTTCCCTACCTACAACCTTTAACACCAATAATAACATAGATAATGGAAAATATTACATAACACCAGAAGAAAAATGTGGCTTTAAGTAATGGTTCTTGGCATATATACTATATAAAATAAAGTTATATGAAGCATGACAGATATTTTCAGAATAAACACTTATTTATATAGGATGAAAATTATATATATAAAGTATATACATAATAAAATAAAAGTGATCTCATTGTGGAAATGGAAAAGAAGAGGCTCTATAGGGAAGGGGAAGGAGGTAACAACAGGAGAAGTAGGTAGAGAGGTAAAATAACAATATGGACAGCTGAAAAAGTCACAAAGAATCATACTATTAATTATTAACAAGAAAAAAATCTAATTACATATATTTCAGTATATATACTTATAGAATATATATATATATACATATATATATATATGTATATGAACTTTTCTTACCTAGATTGATGGTGTTCACTCCAACAGCCAAAGACCACCTAGCACAATCCTCAATACCAGACATGAGAAGCCCCTTTTTTAGTTGTTGCTAGGGTTGTTAAAAGAATCTCAGAACATACAATCTATTGCTGTTGTCCTTTGTTACATTCCATAGTGGAAGCTAAGTGTCTCTTTCTGAAGACATCATGCCCTTCAGAAACACGGCTTAGAGACCCTTGAGCTGGAACTGACCTGCATGCCTCTTTCCTGAGAGCTAACTTTTATGATACCAGAAGGTGCTATGCAAGCTTCCAAAGGCGAAAAGGAATCAACAGTCTCATTCAGCTATGATACTTAGGACCAGCATGGCACAATGATCCTAAGGGTTCAGTGTGGCATGCATACCTTGGCAGTAACCAACAGATCTTTAATTGGACTTAAGGCCCAATTAACAAAAGGGATGTCATGCCTGGTACTGGAGACCTAGCTAACTACCCAGTGCTTATGAAGTCATAGTCACTGGAGAAGAATCTACAATCAGTGATTTATTAAACCAGCATTTTCTCTAACAACAATCTATAAACATCTGTCTTTATACCCACAGATAAGAATAGTCTTCATCTCTATCAAGAAAACTTCTTTGTGTCTATAACATAGGCTGAGACAACTACAGAAAACCATAACCAAGCAAAATGTAGTTAGAGAGCTCAGTTCCAGTGGATAAGTCTACTCCTATGTCTGAGGCTCAGGGAACTTTGCTGGGGGACAGAGGTGGGGATATAAAAGTCAGAGTAGCACAATGTTTGCCATGAGATTACGTCTCCAAGTGACACCAGAAGCTATACCAGTAGTCACCAACACGACCACCCAAGTGTGAGATGAGCGGGGATGACATCCATAAATACGTCAAATTTATGGGAAAGCCCACAAGGCTGAGAGCAGCCTTACACAACGAACTATAGGCAACTGAGGAAATTTGGAATCAGGAGAGGTGGTCATCCTCAGAGAAAAGCACACCAATGGGTTCTCCACTGCCAACTTGTCGAATCTGAAAATATACCCAGAAGTAACATTATATGAACTTAACAGGCTATATTTAGTAATATACATGTATATTAAATACATATAAGTATGCAATAACAACTAATGAAAATGAGGCTATCGTTTTGAAGCAGAGCTGGAAGGCTCATATGGGAGGATTTGGAGGGAAGAAAGGGAAGAGGAAAATGTTATAATTCAATGACAACCTGAATTTTTTAATTTAAAAAATAATATATATGTATATCTGTGTGTATGTATATATTTTACATATCATGCATTTAATGGCTGTGTGTATATATGTAAATGCATAAATGCTGATGTGTGTATATATGTTCTTATTATGCATAAACTGTGGAAAGGATGTTAAAGCTAAGTTTAGCTCAAAGAATATCTCTCACTTTTGCTCTAATATTCATGGTTTACTTACTAGCTATGAGAAGCTGTGCTTGTAGTTGGCTTTAATTTTGAAATGCTAATCAAATTCAGATAAGGAAGAAACATGCTGAAAGGCTGAAAAAATATAGAAATGAATCCAAGAAGACTGTCCTCCTCAATGCTCAATGCTCTCTGTTCTCATAACAGTGCCAGTGAATGTGTGCTGCATGCCCCCAGCAGTGTATCCAGCCTACACTGTGGAAACTGGATTGTGGACATTATAGATCTTTAAAGAGTAAGAGGAGCATTTGAAGTCCAGTGAATCATTTTCTCTCTTTCAGAATGTTAGTAGGTGAAATATAAGTAACTAAAGGTCTCAAAGTATGAAAAGTTATTTCTATTTTAGATGGTAATCAAAGAAAGCTCAGAGCTACTTCTTATTTACTTGTGTTTAGAAATAAAATAACACAGTAATAATAATGGCATAATTGGCATCAACATAGGTGAGAGGCATGTTGCTTTGTCGACCTGAAAATTCACTTATTTAAAGCATGAATTAAGCATTTCCTGGAGTTACAAAAGAAAGCGCTGGAAATAGTTGGATAATCATCTGATTCTTAAATATGAAACGTGGCTTAAGGAAATGAGCAAGATTTGTTTGTGTGCCAGATGCATATCTCTTCCGCTCTATTTTATCCTCACACCTGTACGAAAGATTGTTCTGGGTCACGGTACTGGTGTGAATAGTCAAGGTCCCATCAAGCCATCGGGAATGAGAAGATCGATAAGGCACATGAAACTGGAAAAGCAAAGGCCTCATATGTGAAGGTCATTTGTTGGCTTTTCAAGCTTTAGCTCCACAAGTTTTCATTATTTTAACATATATTTTTATTGATTATTTGAGAATTTCATATAATGCACACCTCTCACCCTTACTTCCCAGTCCTCCCAGGTTCACCCCCCACCCTTGTGCCCTCTCCACCCCCCAAAAAAGGTAAAAAAAAATTATAAAAAAAAAGTCCAATTTGTATTGTCCATGTAGTCACTGGAGCATGGTCAAACAGCCCATGGCCAGTTCCTTAAAGAAAAATGAGACCTTCCTCACCTCCACCCCAACCCCAGCCAGCAGCCCTCTGCCATGGAGAACTATGCTTCAGCATCCTTAGGACAATTTTGAAAAGTTCTCTTTGATGGCTTACATCCCAGGTTGTTACTTTGTGTGTGTGTGTGTGTGTGTGATGGGGGAGGAGGGGTTGTCACAGAAACTAAAGACTCACAGTTGAGAGAGTCAACTTATTTTATTGGAAGTAATCTTTTATTCCTGTGATGAAATGAGTTCCTGTATTTTTCATTTAGAATATTCCTATAAAATGTCTTCACTTTTTTTGTCTTGTTGATAACGAGCTTATATATTCTGATTTTGGTGTCCCCTTATCCAACTCCTCCTAGATTCTCCCATCTCCCCTAGCAGCTGAATCCATACTCTTTCTGTCTCTCTTAGTAAACAAACAGTAATCTAAACAATAATAATACAATGCAATACAATAAGCTGAAATAAAAACAAACAAACCAGAATAGGATAAAATAGACAAAAAGAAAAAAAAGGAGCCATAGAAAAAGCACAAGGAACACATATAGACACAGAGACACACATGTACACACACACAGGAATCCCTGCCATACAAACACAAACCAGAAGCCATAATATATATGCAAAGGACTTGTAAGGTTTAAAAAATGCCTAGACACAACATGAGGCAAAGAACATTTAAAAATGCCACTGATGTCTTTTGTGTTGGTCATCTACTGCTGGACATGAGGCATGGACCTAACAGGGGTTTGTTTTCCCAGTGAGACTCACTTGGAGAGAACTAACTTTTCATTTGTGAAAGGTTATCAATTAGAGAGACTTCTGGGTTAGGGGTGGGGACTTGTGTCCACTTATCCTTTCAGCTCTAGGACCTCATCTAAGTGCAAATCTGTGCAGGTCCTATGCATGCTGCTTCATATTCTGTGAGTTCATATATTCATCGGTCCTACTGTGTCTAGAAGGCCTTGATTCCCTGGTGTCCTCCATCCCCTCTGGCTCTTCAAATTTTTTTCTTCCCCTCCTTTCACATCTCATTTAGGACCGAGTTCAAGGTCTCTCACTTTGCATGCTGTCCAGATGTGGGTTTCTATATTTGTTCTGATAATGGCTCATCAAGGCAATGATCATATTTGTCCTTCTGGGTAGCTTCTTTTTAAAACCAAATACCTAACATGTTTGTTATCTTTGACCTAAGATAAAAATCTTTGTCTTTAGAGGACAAGACTTCACTTTCCCCCACAGTGTTTATGACCTCAAACTAAATGTGTTGCATTTATCACTGCTGTGGGGTTATCATGTGTAACTGACTGGGTTAATAAAAAGTGGAAAGAGCATTACTGTCACACACACACACACACACACACACACACACACGCACACGCGCACGCGCACGCGCACGCGCACACACACGCACACACACACACACACACACACACACACACCTCTCTGGACCATAAATGTCATCATTGGATTGATTTTATATATGTACACATATATTAAATATGTATTTGGTATGTACATATTTGGCAATGAGTCAAAAAATATCGACTAGCATCTTTAATAACTCATATTTAAGAAAAACACAGCATGCCGAGGTAATGTAATCCAGAACTTCGAGTAATCCACGCCACAGTTCACTAGGATTTTCAGTAGTTATTGAAGTCCACGAATGTTTTGAGCTTTCCTAAAGTCCCTCTGAACACAGGTCTGTCCTTGAGGTGTCAGATTAACACTCCACTCTGAAGACAAATTGTTCATGGGTAAACTAGCCATATGAGAGCCATTACATAGTGTGCTGTGCATTCTTGAAAAATGAAAAATTCTAGGCAACATTACATTTTATAAATGCAAGATGTTTATTATTACAGTACCAGCAATAAATGTTTAGAAACTGGAGAGAGTTCACGATGGTTGTGACTAGGAACATATGCCTATCGAGTTCACTGGAAGCGGAGCCATTGATTTTTGGCATTAAACAAAGAATCTGGAAGCTATTATACATTTAGGCTTCTATGAGTATTTAATTATATCAATGGGGGAACACAATTTCTGTTGTGTGCATAGTGACGAATGTCTCCATTTATTCATGTTACTATGCGTGATAGATGAGTTCAAACCAGATGCTTTAAGTTTCTTACTATTTGACCAAATTATTTAAATAAAGTTCTTTGGAAATTCATAGGATAGGCTCATGAATGTCACAGAGGGAACCTCACCCATGGAATTTGTTTATGAATTTCTCTAAGAAAAATAAACAAATTAAAGCATATACGTGTACACAGAATTGTCTATAAACATTTCTACCCCTTGAAGTAAACTGATAAATACTATTCCATTGCTCTTACTCCTATGCACTTTCTCAGGTCTGTTGTTTTTCTACCTTCTAGTAATGTTTGCTTAGATATGTGATCACTTGTTTATTTTAAATTTGCCACTGCACACTCAGACCTTATCCATTTGTGCAACCCAAAACCTGTTGTGTAAGAACCTTTTTCTCCATGTGATTGCAGGCCAAGATGCATTTTTGAAAAGTACTAAAAGGTGTGTATTAATGTTCTCATCACAAAAAGACAACTATGCGATATAGTCCATTCATAGATTAGTTTGACATGACCATTCAACACTGCAGATGTGGTTCTGAACATCAATATATACTCCATAAACCATAATATTTTATTTGTTAATTGAAAGTGATTTTTTTAAAAAAAAACAAGATCTGATTATTCAAGGGAGATGATTTTTATTGTGTATTTATTTTTATTTTATTGAAAATAAATTTTTCATACAATATATTCTAGTTATGTGTTTCTTTCCCCAGACTCTACCCAGTTTCACACCTCTTACCCTCCCTTCCATATCCACATCCTTTCTGTCTCTCTTTAGAAAATAAACAGGTATCCAAGGAATCAAAATAAAATAAAATATA